CTTCAGTGTCACTTCACCTGGCAGCTGGGTGTGGACTCTGCCAGCTCTCTGCACATCCTGCACAAGGTGGCTGTCGASATCCAGCACACGCAGCACCAGAACCGGGTGGCCCTGCTGGGGCTCCAGGCGTACCTGCAGCAGCTGAGGAACCAGAGCAAGGAGGCTCTGCAGAGCCTGAGAGATGCTGAGAAGCACAATGGGCAGGCGGGATCTACTGCAGGCTCTGTGACCATCTACGGGAAYTATGCTTGGCTTTATTACCTCCAGGGCTCCTACCAGGAGGCTGAAAAATACCTGGAACGAGTCCAGCAGCTGTGCCCGACTCCTTGGGATGCGGGGCTGATCGCAGACATCCAGGCACAGAAAGGCTGGTCCCTCCTACTCATCAGAGTCCGCAACGGGGAGCGGGCCAGAGAGTGCTTCGAGACGGCCTTGATRCTTCAACCAGAGAACACAGCTTTCCGTACTGGGCTTGCAATGGCTCTTTATTCCTCCTGGAATTACTTCCACCATCCCGATTTTGCAAGCGAAGCCATAACCCACATGCAAAGAATCGTCCACGAGCAGCCAAASAACTACAGAGCCAAAATATATTTGGCCAGGCTACTTGAACAGAAAGACAAGGACAAAGCAGTTGATTTGGCTGAAGCATGTACAGAGAACAGCTCTGACCCTGAGGTCCTCAAATCATCAGTTTGGTTCTGGCTGCCGCGGTCTCTGGAGCGAGCGATGGAGATCATTCAGCGAGTCCTGCAGGAGGACCCAGGTTACCACCTTCTCTACCAAACCTTGGCCACGTGCTACAAACAACAATGGATTAAAGCAGATGAGGCAGACAAGRGCAAGATAGTGGATGCAGCCATCAAAGACCTCCAGCAGATTGTGCAGACACATCCAGACCTTGACCTCACACCCGTCAAGCTGCAGCTGGCAGAGTTCCTGGGCGCAAAAGGTTTACTGGAAAAGGAAGAGGAGATCTACAAGGAGCTGCAGAAGCAAATGGAGACCCTGAGCCTGAGATGCCGTCAGTCCCTGAACGCCTACTGGGGAAAGCACTTGTTCTACCGGAGGAAATGCCCAGAGCAGGCAAGAGCCAAGTTCATGGATGGGTACAGGCTTTGCCCRGGGACAGATGAGGGSAGGCACTGTGAGCGCAGACTGAGAAWAATGGCTCAGGACTACAAGYRCAGAGGGAACACCAAAGCTGCTGAYGACATCTACCAATTCCTCGACGAGACCAGGGAGCAGCTGGCTGAGGAGCTCACTGCACTCAGTTTAGATGGTGAGTAGAGCCTGCAGAGAGCAGGATGTGGCTTTTTGCAGGCTAGGTCAGGTCTGTCTGTCTGTCTGTCTGTCTGTCAGCACAGCAGGGCCCTTCCTCACACAGACAGAACAGCTCTATCAGCTCCTCAGATCATCCCATTGCTCAGCCGTCAAATCCAGGCACCCAAACCTTGCACATCCGTGTCCTGCTTTCCCAGAGGGAATGAAAAAGCAGTGAAGAGTTTGGGTTACAGGATCTGAGCACAATCCTCTGCAGGTGCCTCTCTGTTGGAGCTGCTGTTGATCAGAACTGAATGCTGATTAGGGCAGTGTGAAAAATCAACTCGTTAATTATAAGAATTCTACCATTTGCAGCAAACCAGGAGGGGGATTCCTCCATGAGATCACGGGAGTGATGATGAGGGTGAAGCCCTTCTGAACAGGACACAGATGGTCACGGCCCTGTCCAARTGCATTAATTGCTGCTGATTAAGGAGCCCACAGGGGTGATTTTATCTGCACTAATCCTCAGAAGCACACGCACTGGACATAAAACCTGAGCTTTCTTGCACGGGTTCCCACCAGGAATGACATTTTCATCCCTGTTTCTGGGGCCAAAGTGAGGCTGCTTTTAATATTCTTATTGATCAATAAAAATTTTTCTGTTTGATTTCTCTTTGTTGGTGTCTTCTTGTAGCCTGAAGCAACCAGAGCAGGGAATGGCAAAGATCCATCCTCTCCTCACTGCTGTCCATCCCCCCAGGCTCTTCCTCTTGTCCTTGTACATCCCTGCAGGACAGGGGGGCACCCTCACATCCCACCACTGTGCCCAGCACTACACGAGTGGGGGTGGCTTCCTGGAGTGTCCCCAAACCCCACCTGTCCCCAGAAGCAGAGCCAGGTGAGCAGGGCAGATGTCCCTCAGCAGGTCCCACTGCCACTGATCTGGTTTCTGCTCCAGTGAGGAACAGGCAAGGACCGAGTTGGGGAGAGGATGCTCCAGGCAAGGATCAAGTGTACCCAGCACAGGATTTGGGTAAGGAGAGCACAACTCAGTGCCCCCCTCATGCACATGGGGGATGTCTGAGAACCTCAGAGGCCAGAAATACCCCCTGCCCAGGAGCAGTGTACAACCATGGCAGGAGAAAACTTCACCCCCCAGACCCCAAAATCAAGGGGGATGAGAAACACCCCAAGTCACCACACCCACCCCAGGCTATTCCTCCTCCCGACACAACAGCAGGGACCAGAACTGCTGTTCTCCTTCCTCCTGTGATCCCAGGAGCCACAGACTGGGGCAGGATCCTGTCCCCAACAGCAGAGCTGCCTGGGATCAGTGCTCGGGCCAGGAGCTCCTCAGAGAGCAGCCCCTCAACCTCCAGTGAGGCCTGGGCAAAAACTACACAGCACAAGTTAAAACCACGAGCCCAAGAACACACAAAACACCGAGTCATGTGGAACATCAGGATTTACTTAACTGCACAGTCAGGACAGTTTTCCAGAGCTCAATAAAAACAGCCACTCCATAAATTTGTGTGTGTTTCACAGATGTCTTCACAGATCCTGGGAAAGCAGATCCCACCCCCATGAACCACCCTCCTTCCCCCCACCAGCTCGAGCAGCAATAATAATTCCTTTAGGCTACCCAGGAATACTTTGGCTTTGCATCTACACGGTGCTCTACAGGATTTACCCCTTATAAACAGAGCATGAGAAAAAATGCGTTTAGGAGTCACAGTCCCTTGGGCAGTTCGTTAAAGAGAGRCTTTTGCCCAATCCAACACTGCCATCCTCAGGATTGCAGCTGCACCACCAGCCAGGTGGGATTTACACACTGTGCTGATGGAAAGCTTGGATTCTGCCCAAATTCAGACACTGCTGAGTCAAGAAAATCCCACGGAGTCCGAAAAACCCCAACCAACGGACACTCATTTTGTGACTGCTCTACTTCTCACAGGGAGAAAACCAGATGTTAGTAAAAATATCAGCTCTCTAGAGTTTTTATCAATTATATGTTCATAATTTATAAAAAATTATACATTTTTATATTATTTTTAATTCATTTTTATATGTTATGGGTTATGTGATTGACACTGAACAAGTCATGCTCGTTACTGTCTTCACCAATACTACRTTCAGCAGAGCATTAGATAATAAAAATAAATTGCATTATAAAATCCCATTAAAAGTCTCAATTAAGCTGRAAGATAAAAGGCAAAACATCATTTAATATAAGCTGCCAGGGGCCACGGAGACAACCTGTGTTTCTTGTACTTGTGAGCATTGGTGTGCAAATGCCAGGACAAGCCCAGCTGCCAGGTCTTCACTTCAGCATAGGAGAGGCAAAGAAGTTCCCCTGGTGCCCAAGCTGGGTTGTTGACTTGCTTTTGCTCCCAAATCTAATTCAAGAGAAATATAAAAATATCAGTTTGGAATTTGGGATACAGAGGTCCAAAGCTCTCCCTTTCCAGGGAGCATTCACTCAAATTGCACCCACCTCCCACACAATGCTCCTCTCCCTACCGTAAGATGATATTTGTCACCCATCTGCTGCTCCCACAGCACAGATTAAGGGAGGGCTGCCCCCAAAATCTGATTTTAGTTCTCCCTGAGCACCCAGGTGACCTGCAGTCCTTGCAGCAGTCCCTGACAGCACCCTGTGGCACTCACTTGGGGGTGGTCTTGCTGAAWGTGGAGCGCATCCTCTGGGACAGGGAGCTGGACGACGGCGTCTTGGAGAGCTGCTGCTGCTCTGGGGTGGTGAGGGGTCCCAGAATGCTCACTGCCAAGAGAGAGAGAGCAGCAACGTGTGGGGACAGCTGAAGCTTTCACTGCCATGCATCTGCATCTGCAGAAATGCTAGACAAATCTGGCATTTCCTKGCACACTCTGCTTTTCCCTCTCCCTCCATGAAGGGAGGAGTGGCTGGCTCTAACAGCCTCCCAGGCTGCTGGGGCTGAGGGTTGTGATTTTAATAACAGAGCAGAAGGCAGGGTTACCTTGAACCTCAGGTGTCCGTGGGGTGGAATAGGCATTGGTGTTCTCAATTACRTGTGCTGGGTTAATGTTCTCCTGCTCCACCATCATCAGCTGGCTCCAGTAGTCCATGGGCAGCAGCAGAAGTCGCTCCACGACCTACAGAGATACCTGTGAGTCACTGATCCCAGAATGCTCTSGGTTGGAGGAGGTAAATTCACCCAGCTTGGTCCTTCCTGCTGACCCACCTTGGGCTGACGCTTGGTGTCCTGCAGGAGGGTCATGGGGTCAGGATCTGGGACTGCRTGGGCCACTATTGTGGGGCCGAAGACTTTGGCCAAGTTGGAGATGTCCATTTTGGTGTCTGGGCTCTGAGCCACCCTGTATTAACAGAAAATAAGAAAGAATGTAGCTTCACCCCTTCACTTGTCCTACAAGGGCCCTGCCCCACACACACTCAACCTTTGATTGGGCAGGTTTGTTCCAGAATGAAGACTTTATGCTCACAAGCAGTAACCAATTAAAAAAAGCACCAGTGGGGTAACATTCCCCTTTCAGATCACAGAATGGTTTGGGTTGRAAAGSACCTTTGAGATCAGCTGGTTCCAACCCCCCATCCATCAGAATGTACCTCTGTAGGTGGACCATGAGGAAAGCCAAGGTGTCCCTATTGGCCTGAGGAAGTTCTCCAACTGCTTGGTACATTGCAGCAATGCTGTTGTCCTCATCTGAGATTTCTGGGGGGAAAAAAGTAACATTTAAACCTAAGAAAGTGATCCCAGAAGCTGCAATATTCTCAGAGTAACTGTGGCTGTGAGAAGTAAGGAAGCCAAACACTTGCCATGCTGTGGCAATAATCTGGTATCCTGCCCAAGCAGAACTCAGGGCTCCACAGAGCACCAAGGTCTGGCAGCCCACTCGACAGCAAAACCACAACCACCAGGCCTAAGGAGAGCTGGAGATCTCCAACAATTCCCCACCTGCTGCTTCCATGAAAGTCTTGTTTAACCGGAAAGTGAGGAGGGGCTCTTTCAGGTTGCGCAGGAAGTCCTTGAGGAGGCCRCAGATGGCGTGGATATCGTCCACTTTACTGAGCAAAGGAATGTTCTTTGACCTAAGAAACTTCTCCTTCAGCTCCCTCACAGTCTTGTCACAGCCAGAGATGCGGTAAAGGCCTGTCTGTTGGCACAAAGCTTGGCTCAGAGGAGGAGAGGGTCAACTGCTGTTCTTCCACCCCCACCTTCTCTCCACACCTGAGCACTCCCCGGTGCTCCCTCRGTCACCCCCTGAGCAGCACAAYACACACCATRAATAAAGAATATTTGGGTTTACARTTTGCTTCCCTAACACCACAACCCATTTCATTAGCACCGTTTCACACCTCATTTTCTTTTTTACCTCATGCAGCCCTCGTTGCTCAATCTCGTTAACACAGTGCACGATGATGGAAGGGATCATTGGAGGAGTAGAAGGGACAAAATCCATCAAGGTGCCCTAAAAGGCAGAAGGGAAAATAAAAAAAATAAAGAGAGATTCAGTCATCGAGACATGGAAAATACTCTCTCAGGAATTCACAGCAAGATCTACGGTTTGGAAACAAGAATTGCTGCTCTTCTCAGGACTGATGGAGAAACATCACATCCATCAGCGCAGCGCTGCCCGGAGCTGCCACCTTCCCCACTCAACGCCCTCCCACCATCACACCCCTACACCCCCTCCCTGCCTGCGGAATGATGCATTAGCAGGCTCATTTGCATGTCATTATGCAGCTCTGAGCAACAGGAGCTTTTTGCTGGGGAAGGCAGCCTTGGAGCTGAGCGGGTGCCAAGCCAAGGTGGGTATTTTGGGGGCACAGACTCACCTCTCCAATCCGGACCGGGGTGCCCGTCAGTGTTGGGATGCAGGGGAGGGGGCAGCGCTCCCGGCACTCRGGGTGAGCGACCACCCGGCAGTCTCGGCACTTCAGAGAGATCTTCCCAAACTTCACTCTTTTCCCACATGGAACACACGATTCTGGCTTGATAACCTGATCATCCAGGGCACACAGATGGGAGGGAGGGATTAGTGCAGGGTAGTAATTCAGCAGGATTTAAACTGATAACAGTTACCTGACCCTTGCAGGTAACTGGTACAGCTCAGATTGACCTGAGACAGAACCACAGAACCATGGAACAGCCTGAGATGGAAGGGACCCATAAGGATTCTGCACAGACACCCCAAAAATCCCACCCTGGGCCTGAGGGTGTTGTCCAAACGCCCCTGGAGCTCTGGCAGCCTTGGGGCYGTGCCCATTCCCTGGGGAGCCTGGGCAGTGCCCAGCACCCTCTGGAGCAAAAGCCTGTTCCAAAACATCCAACCTAACCCTCCCCTGACACAGCTGGCAGCCTCTTATCACACACATTTCAAGATGGAAGGAGATGCTTTTCCAAGCCCCTCCTGCCTGCAGACCCACCGTCTTGGAAACAAAGTCGTGCAGCCTGACTCCCCCGTTGTGCTGCGGGGTGCTGCAGCCATCCGTGTCTGACTTGGACTCCAGCTGCTTGCTGCCTATGCTGGACTCRCTGTTCCAAGTCTGCAAAGGTCCTGGAAGACACAAGAGGAAGAGGTTTCTGACTGGCATCACCCTCTGCACCCAAAAGCGTGGGCATCATAAACCAGAAGCAGCTTGGAAGGAATAACAGACATTTCAGGGTAGCCTCCAGCCTGAGCAGTGGTGTCAGGACTGGATGGATGTTACACCCACCACTCTTCCTCCTGCTCCTCCGAGGATAAGGCATGGTCTGGATGGTAGAAATGGCTTCAATTGGGCCACCATCRTTGGGGACCATCAGAGTGGTCTTTGCTACGATGGATTCATTGCCCTGTAATGACAAATAAGCTGTGAGTGACAGCAATGCTGACAGAACACACCAGCTCCAGAGGAAACGGCAGGAACTGGGACCAAGTGCACACAARCCCAGCTGGGATCACCATACCTGGTCTGCTGTGTTGCTGATGGATCTGGATTTCTTCTGAGGACCTGGGGGRCCTTCAGCAAACTGCCTGGAAGAGCGCTGAAAAGAGACAGCACATTCTTGTCTAGGAATGCTGTTCACTTGGCATTACACTGGTGCAGGGTAAGTAAAAGGAGTGAACATTTAGTGCATCTGTGGTGTGTGCACACAAGTACTTCAGTGGTGCCTGTTCTTCGTGGCAACCTTGGAGGTGCCAGGAAGAATTAGGGAACCTCAGTACACTGCCCTTTCAAATAATTTTAGCTAGCTTTATAATTCAATTCAGAAAAAAAAAGAAACCCAACCTAAGGAAGGAGGACAAAAAAATGCCAGCAAGCAACACACACGGAAAAGAGCAACTAAGCAAGTCCCAGACTCTTGCCAGCTCCACTGGGTGATGGTTTCAGGCTCTTGCCCACCTGTATCTTCTGCAGATTAAAGCAGAACAAGCACTAGCTCTTTTACACAATAGAAAAATAATAACTTCCTACACCATTTTCCCCTCATCTGGGAGCTGTTAATAATCTCCACTTGCTTTCTTGCAAACCCAGACTGTAACAGCACAGGATATACAGAACTCCACTCATTTTCAGTAGACAAWCAATGACATCAGGGCTAGATTTCAATTCAAACCCCCACAGCAGCAGCACATCCATGGTCTGACTGTGCTTAGTGGCTCAGAGGTCACTACAGGTGGCTGAGGTGACAGATGGTGGCATTGGGGCAGTCAGGCTGAACAATGGGAACTGTGACAGGGAACAATTGAACAACTTACCCGCTTCTCTCTCCTCTTCAGCCTGACAGCTTTCACCACCGAGGAATCCCAGTCCTGGGGGAAATACACAGCACTGGTTCATGGTAAATACCACACAGCCCCTGGCCAGGGCTTTCAGCAGGTTTTAGCCAATGGCACACTCGGGAAATGCAAATCAGCTCAACCAGTTTAATACCCCTGTAATCTAAACACAAAGGGTCTCTGGAGATCAACCCCCTCCCCTCGGGCTCTACTGGGGAGGAGAACTTCAGAACGTGGAGTTACATTACCAGTGAGTCATCGGTCTTGTCAAAGCTGATGTCTGACAGAATTGAGCCAGATTCATCTATTGTAGACAGCCTAAAAAACAAAAATTAGAAGAAGCTTGTATCAGTTTGTTCTGGAACCATGACTGACTGAAAGCCAATCTCACTGACTCACAAGAGCCGTATTTTAAAGTGGAACAAAAAGGAAAACTGTTGACAAGGGCACAGAATGTGTCACACAGGCCCACAGCTGGATTGATGCCTGACACTTCAGACAAAAYGCTGGTTTTACCTTTTGTTGCCTGAAGCTCCCACAGAAGCCCGTGGCCTGTTGAGGAAGGCAAGGACAGATTTCTGCTCCTCGCTGAGCTGGATGCTGCCRGATGAATCGCACATGAGCAGCTCCCGAATCAGCTGGATCTGCCTCTCCTGTGAGCACAGATAACACCAGCACTGGATAAAGCATGTTTAATTACTGGAAGTGTTTGAGATACCAGAGATAAACTCTCCCAACTTGTGTCAGTGGACTGCTGATGGCTGCAGGCAGGTAATGGCAGCTCAGACAGGTAATGGCAGCTCAGCTCCACCAGCAGCCAGTCCATTTTCCCAGATCAAAGCAGAAGGCTGCTCCAAGGAGCTGAGCCAATTCCTCACTTTTTTATTTTCCATTCCCATGAGTGCCAGTCCTTATTTGCCAGTGATCAATGCAGTTTAATCACCTCATCTCCACACTCTCAAGAGCTAAGGGGTACACAGGGATTACTCACCAGCTTCTCACAGTCCATTTCTGCTTTTTGYCTCCGTTTGATCTCCACGTCCACCTGATTGCGGGCGTGTTTCAGCTTCACGTCCAGGGCACTGCGCTCAGCTTCTGTTTTCATGAGGAGATCTTTGTATCTGCTGAGCTCGTGCTCCGTTTTCTGCCATTTCTTCTGATACTCCTCGAAGTTCTTTGCTAACTGAATAAACTCTGGGGAGAGAAAACACGAAGCTTTAGCTGGACAAACAGAGGAACAGCTAACAGCAGGTATCTGTTCAGGTATCAGATTCTGTTCACACTGAATCCCAGGATTGTTGAGGTTGGAAAATCTCTCAAAGACCAACAAGTCCAACCTGTGCCTGGTTGCCACCTTGTCACCCAGCCCAGAGCACCCACGTCCAGGCCTTSCTTRGACACCTCCAGGGATGGGCACTCCAAACCTCCCTGGGCAGCTCYTTMCAATGCCYGACYACCWTTTCCATGAAGAAATTCCTCCTGATGTGCACCCTGAACCTCCATACCCTGCTCCCAAATGAGCCTTTGGGCAAACCCATCCACATCAGAGATGTCCATGAGCTCTTCCATTTCTCAGCCCAAGCCCTTCCTGTCAGCACCAACCAGAAGAGMTGGAACACCAGATGTCACATGAAGCCAGTTTGCTACAAGAATGTGGCCTTGCATCGAAGTTTAGCCAGGATTTCACGTTTCTCAACAAAGGAAAAACCAAAATCTGGCTGGTTTTAGCATCTTCAGGAACATCTCAGAGACAGCACTCACGGTATTCGTTGCCTTCACTCAGAAGCTCGGCCTGGCGCGTGAGCTGCTCGTACAGACCCCGGAGGTTCACCATGGCAATCTCCATCCTCCTGCCAAAAAACACAGCTGAACAACAGCCCTGCCCTCCCCGCCCACCTCCAAACAGAAACCAGCCCGAAGAAAAGAGAACCAACGTCAGAGACACTGGTTGCAACACTTTCGGGCAAGTTTGAGAAGCTGCATCAACAAAAATCATGTTTTATGGAGATATATGCATCTACATTTTTTCACTGGGAATGCAAATCCACAGCCTTCCACAGTTTTTGGATAACAGCCATGGAAAAGAGGCAGATCTGCCCACTTTAGTGCTTCCACTACCCTCCAGCACAGWACAGAGGCTCAGAACCCAAGGCAAAGGTGAGGGATCCCAAGTCCTTGCCCTCAGAAAGGATGCAGAACACAGCCCATGCCCTGCCTACAAATGGATGGTACTATATAGGCCACTAAAAACCTGCAAGTTTTCAGCACTTTGTAAGATAAAAATAGGAGCAACATTCCGGGGAATTTTAATACAGTTTTAAATTTAGCTGCATTTTAAGTTACAGCTCCTCCTGCAAATAGCTGTTAAAATTCAACCAGTCAGCACATTTCCYTCAAACAGCAGCAACAACGGCATAAACAGAGGCAGCGAAGGGGAAAGTCTCCAGCTCAGCAAGACAGAAATGAGTTCACTAATGCAGGAGGTGGCTGGGGCACGCAGGGCAGCCGGGGCTGGGAAATGAGCTGGGAGAGGTGCCAAGAGGGAACRCAACACACAGAAGGCTTTGAGGTACCTGATTCACAGGTACAGACCTCACAGGCTCACCGGCACCTCGATATTTTCTGTTTTAGGYGGACTGCGAGGCGTGGAAGAGCTCTGCGAGCTCCCAGCACGGGGCACGCCCAGTTCCGTGCCTCGTTACCGGCAGCGGCAGCACCATCCCCGCCACCCCTGAGGCCTGGCCGGTACAGAGCCCACCGCCGCCTCCGAGCAGGGCGAACGGGGCTCCGACACCACCGGGGAATGGGCCTGGGCGGGTTCCCGGTTCCCCTCAGCCCTCCCGATCCCCCRCATTACCTGAGTCACGCGTTCCTCTCGGCTCCCCCGCCCCTCCCTGCGCTTACCTGAGGCCTCCAAGGTTCCTGAGGCCCCGGAGGTTCCCGATGCCCCCACGGTTCCTGAGATCCCCGAGATCCCTGAGGTTCCCGATGCCCCCACGGTTCCCGATGTCCCCGCGGTCCCTCAGCCCTTCCCGTTCCCCTCACCTGGGCCGCCGCTCCGGCCCCCGCCGCGCGCACTCCCAACTGCCCCGCGCTCCGGTTTGAATCCCCGCCGCCAGCCAATCCCCGCGCGTCCCGGCACCCCCCCGCTCTCTCATTGGCTGTCGCTCCCTGGGGCGCTGAAGCCATGCCGCCGCCATGTCTGTTGAGGGCGTGGCCTGCCTGCTGTGCGTCCCGGCGCGAGGGCGGACGCGGGGCGCGGCCGCGCGCGCGCTGAAGCCGCCGGGCGCCATCTTTACTGCTGGTTGCTGGCGCCGGCGCGCGTTGCTTAGCAACCGAGACGCCGGGCGGGGCCGTGACCCTCAGAGCCGGGCCTACTCCTGTAACATTAAATTATACAATAGCGCGAAAGCCAAACTTTACAAATTTGCTTTGTTTATAACGGCCGGCGCTCCAGAAGAGCTGCTCGGGGCGGGGAAAAGCCGTTCTCAGGCCTAGCCCCGGCTATTATTCAAGCAAAGCCATCGGCACAGGGTGGGCCTGAGCCCCCCGCAATGGGTTCTGCATGGAACCAAAATATCCCCACCAAGGGAGAGGGTGCAGCCGGTGAGTGCTGAAATTCACTGTTTATTAAGTGTTGTCTCTTGAGAAATACGGTGCCTCGCCTGGTTTTTTGTCTTCAAACGTTGATTTGAGTAACAGCCGGCAACTTGTGCCAAAGGCAAAACCCATTTGAAGCCACATACGAGTCTTCCCTGTGCAGGCRTTTAATATGCAAACGGATAAAACCCAAACCCAACAATTACACAAAGGGAACTCACATAATCATAAAATAACAACGTGCTTTAATCTTTTAAATCTGAAACAAAACAGCGGGTAATTGAAGAATGGATATTAGCAATTAGAAAGCGGAACTAAATGCTTAAAATTGCGCAGTGGAAAAGGGAGTTCATAAAGCAGATTGCTCTCATCATCCAGCTGCTTTGTCGGAACTGCTTTATTTAGGGTACATAGTTTGCTTTAACTTAATAATAATTAATTCATAATAGGTTGTAAAAAGCCTCAAGATCTTTGAGAAGTAAACATTAACGAGGCTGCCTTGAAGAAGAGAGCCAAAATTATCTACATTTTATAGGAGAACTGAGGCCTAGAAGAGACACAACTCGTCCTCCAAGCCAATGGCCAAGCAAGAGAGAGGTGCTGACCTTGATATTTGACCTCATGTAATGGAAAATCACCCAAAAGGCCAATTTGCCCCAGTCTGGAAAGAAGTTGGAGGATGAAAGATCCACCTGGCTCTGCCCTGAGCCTCCTGTGCAGGTACATTCCCCATTTGTGATGAGGCTCYGCTGCTTTGGTGTCAGCCTGGGGCCTCCTGCAGCTCCTGCCTGTAATTAAATCTTCACAGCTAAGATGTCTCTATTGGCAGATCGTATTTATAGGCAGGCGAGTTGTTTTAGTGGCGTTCTGAAGAGTCGAGGARGCTTCTGCTCATAAGCAAATTCTGTTCCCTTTCAAATTGTCATCTGCAATCTCGTGCCAATAAAAAGGCACGTTATTTTAGATGATTGCCCCCGCGGTGCTTGTAGTGAGTTACTGCAGTAGGTGCCGGGCTCGTGTTGCACAAATTGCATTTCTTGCACATGTGTTCAACCACCGTCCTTCCAAATCCTCCTCTGAACGGGTCAAACAGCAGGGTCTGGTACCCCAAAAARCCTCTGAGAACCCCCTCACCTGTGATGCAATGTGRACCTGGCAAATGGGCCCCCCTGCTCGGTGCCAGCCCCAAAACCTTTGTGGGGTCTCCTTCCTCCTCCTYGGCTGACGTGTGATGAGAGAGAGAGGTCGGGAGCACCTTTCATCTGGAGCTTTATTCCAAGGGAGAAGAAAGGCAGCAGGACTGAGGGCCTTTTCAGGAGCTGCTTTATGGCAAAGTAATTATATTCTCTTTTGTTTGTGTCAGGAAGAGGGGGGAGAAGCCTTGAAATGTCTCATCTGGGAAACCGTTAATAGAATTTATGCTAATTTGATGATTCCGGCGATTACTGGCGGAAGCACTTCACATTCTCAGGCAGCAGAAATTCTCCTCCAGCTCCTCCTGCAGCCTCACTGGGTTGGTCTTCAGCCCATTTGCCTCCTCCAGCCACCGCAGACCCTCGGCTGACCACCCCCAGGATGTGACCCCAAAATGTCAGCAGGATCGGGGCTGATGACAATGGGATCCCTGCTGACCCCAGACCTCGATATTTTGGKGCAGGATGGAAGGAAAGCTGCYCCAGTGCCTTTGTGTGAGCAAAGAGCAGAGCCAAACCTTTCCCTGCCAGCCTCATCCTCGGGTGAAGCTTTGCAAAGGCTGAAACGCTCTACCCAGCTCCCRTAATTAACTCTGCAATTGCAAACCCATTTGTGCAGCTTTGTGCAGCTCAGGGGAAACCTTTATTAAGTTCCTTTTAATCCAAAACCAGTTAGAGCACGATGGTCTTCATAAACAGTCATTCAAAAAAATAAAAAGAAGGGGGGGCAGGGGGGAAAGCAAGTGGAAGTAGAAACTTTAAGAGAGCAACCTTTCTTCAGGGGAAAAAAAGGGAGAAAAAATTATCTTAGGTGCATTTATCTTGATACATTAATACAGCAGGGGTGTTAAAAAGGAATTATTCAGTAGTGTGAGGAAAAAAACCCATCAGGCTGAGCAAGGAAGGCAGCTGGGGTTTAGCCAGAGGAAGATGGACATTTTAGAGAATTAATTTCCAATTTCTCCMGGCTGCCCCAAGCCAAAGGCCGGCAGATGGCATCAGGCTCATGTGCTGGGTGGGAGCTGCAGGGCCTCGGCCAGCCCTCAGCAGGGCAAAATATGGCCAGAGCACAGTCCAGAGGGGCTGGGAAAAGGGGAAAGAGCCCACGGGGATGTGAGGAGGGGGATGAAGAACCCACAGGGGGTGTGAGGAGGGGATGAAGAGCCCACAGGGGGTGTGAGGAGGGGATGAAGAGCCCACGGGGGCTGTGAGCTCCATGGGGTTTTCAAGGGGGATAAAGGAGCCCACGAGGTCTGTGAGGAGGGGGCCAAAGGGGCTGTGTTTTTGCCATCAGTCCAAGAACAAACCAGGTTGAGCTGTGATCTCCCACCTGGGGGAAGCTGGGACGTTTCCTCCAGCTTCGGGGTAAAGAGTGCTCGGATGGGATGAGCCAAACCCGCCGTCCATCCTCTCTGTCCTGGGAGTGAAACCATGCTTTAATGTCAGCAGAGAAGCCAYGGCCTTATCCTGAACTCCTTAAAAAACAAAGGGAGTCTCTATTGCCTTCATCTGGCTTTTAATGAATGACCTCTTGTCGCCGGGAGCGGCGTGCGGTGACAAAGGACCTTTGTGGGCCGATATTTATGATTTCATTTAAGCCAGGGAGTAAGCRAAGGGAGAGGGCTGGAAAATAAGAACTGAGCTGATGGTTCTGGCTTCAAACTCCAGGGATCTTTATCTAGTTTTTGTATTAATACAGTTGTCATCTCTTCGATATTCGAGCAACTCACAGCCRCGAACGCTCCCACGCCGGAGGGACGCGCGAGAATGACTCCGGCTCTCCCAAGCCCACACCCTCCTCTGGACCCAAAAGCTGGGCAGGGGGGAAGGTTTTGCATTTTCCTAGTGCCCCCCAAGCCTTGCCCACATATGAAGCCTGCTGTGAGTGCCCACGACCTGCTCGCGGGGGGCCCCGGGCTCCAGCACCCCTCCCCACRCCAGCGACTTGCCAACGCTGATAATTTTATTGCCTTTTCCTTCGGCAGGCCTTGGTGGAGGATTAAACAGCTGGGAGTCGGAAGGGAGAGCGTGTCCCCTCTCCTTTGCCATGCAAACAGAGAAAATTAATCTTCCAGCTTCCTCTGATATTTGGGCTGAATTACAAGCTGGGAGCGGAGATAAAGCGCGGGCGAAGGAAGGCACAGGTACAGCRGAGCCGGGCTGCTGGCACAGGCCTTTGTCCGTGCAGATAACGCTCCCCTCCTGGAGTCATGCATAATTCACCAGCACTGCCTCCCTCGTCCTGGTCAGCCCTCCCTCTGCTTTCTCTGTTCTCATCGCAGAGAGATGGAAGCTCAGCGTGTGTGGGTGTGGGACACACTCGTGTGTGTGGTTTTTTGTGTTTGTGTGTGTGTGTGTGTGTGTGTGTCTGTGTGCAGAGGCACAGCAGTGACCTGCAGACCTCAGCGAGGTTTGGGATCTTGGGACAGAGGTGAGGGGACCTTGTCCCGTCTGTCTGGAGGGTGATGGAGCAGAGGGATAACGGAGGCTGATGGAGCAGAGGGATAAC